TCTACTGAGCAAGTTCGTCTTCCTTGCATCTCGAAATGATGTTCTGTGAGGATGAGTGTTGATATGCTTTGCTGCATTGCTCATTTCCTTTCACGGGAGTGATGATTTAATGTCTGCTTACGAAGTGCATTGCCACTAGCACCCTCTGAGCTTTTCTTAGAGTACTCTACATGCTTGAATTAACCACCTTTTCCTTAAATATCCCAGCTAGCTACTGCTACTGTTAACAGAGTTGTTTCTTGGATTCTTGATGTTTCTTAGATTTTCGCAATTGTGCTGAGCTTCTTGTTCTTGTTTCAAAATCTGCCGAATTTCTCGACACTTGAATGTGTCCGTAGAACACAATGTATTTGGTCGCAGTTCAATCCTGATTCCATTTCAGACAATCGATTTATTACCAAGATTCTTGCGCTTTGTCATGATGGAGCGTCCTATGCGATATCAGAATTTGTGTATTAAGTCACCCCTTAATTTCGCAGAGTGCTTCTAGTTCGCAAATAAAGCGAGACATTCTCATGTCTGGCGTCACCGCATTCTTCTTCAGAGTCGGAATCGTCACAAAGTTCTTACAAATTAAGTATTTGATATTTTCGATCGAAATCTGATGTATAATGCTGCAGTGAACATGACAGTGTGATGCCATCGATCGTTGCTATTCGACAGATTGGCCGCGAATTTCAAAGTCTCCGATTTTCTGGAACTCTATCAAGCGGGTTATTTGGAGTGCTTATCGCAAAAATTTTATTTATTTGTACGGTGGGGCCTTATTGTAGGCAGTCGCGGTAGGCATACGGCAGAGAGGTCAACATTATGGATCCGCTCGAGTATCTAGTAAGATTATTTACATGCCGACCACAATTCCCGAATTAATAATACGTTCATGAAATAATTTTTTATCAAACAATACATAAAGTGGCGTGTGGATTGAACAATATTATTTGATGCCAATAAGCTTGAGCTAAATTTAAGACAGATTTACAAAATTCACCTTGTACACATTTAGTTATCCATTCATGATAAAATAACCACTAAGTTGGGGAAAAATCTTATCCATTTCCAATTGGGATACTCATACTTTATTCTTTAGTAAGAGGTAGAAAGGTTCGCTATGGGTGCACGAAAATGAAAAAAAAAGATTTAAAAAATTTATCCGTAGAAGACTTCTTATAAATTATTAGCTACAGAAAGGAAACACAGTTACATATTTCTAAAGTACGGTTCTAGCAAACTGTTACTAGGGCTAAAATATCTAGAGATTTGTGAGGTTTGCGTCAAGTATATTCTGCCGGAAGAGTGCAACCAGGTCCCCAGCTGATTCATCTAATTTCTGCATTCGCTTTGTAAACTCGTCTCTGAAAAGTGATCTTTTTTTCAGAGAAAAAAAAAACAAAAACAGCAATAATCACCTTTCTTCAGGGATACGAACATTAAGAAGTTGCGTAAAAAGCTTCGAGATCGACATTTTCAAAGCATGACTGTTGCCAGGCTTAGTGAGGTATAGCCAGGCAGTGCAGTTTTCTACTAAGAATAAAACCTAAAACAGGGAACTTCGTTAATCTTTTCCCTCTCGGCAAACTGAAATCCAACCTACCAAATTCCTTATGCCAATCATTCTACTCTGTTCTTTCCTTTTACTAAAAGTATTTGCTACATAATTCTCAAAGTCTTCTCTTTCGTTCTTTTCGAATCGTTGTCTTCGCGCGCCCCCACAAAGCTAAAAGTGATCTCTATAACCTATGATATCCGCAGGACTTTGAAAAAGAAACTAACCCTTGTTATTTCTTTATTGACAAAGGGTCTCAACATAATGGTATCCGGTTCTTTGCACTGACCCTTAAAAACGCTATTTCAAGTGTTTTCAACAAAGTGGAATTGCACAAACTTACGCATTCATCGCAGTACTTCACGCTATAACCAAGTAACGCCATGTGTTTTAGAGCTCTCGGGGCTAATGGCCTCTTGTATCCATGGTAGTGAGAATATTGACCATTTTCGTCGTAGTCCCATCTACACCTCCAACCAGGACATCGGGTACTTGAGGATCCTCGGGGCACCTGAAATGGGAACAAGTCAAGTCTAGGCCAAAGTTTACAGCTTGAAGTAATCGCAACCTGAAAGACTTCTTCACAACTAATGCACAGTCGCATTTGGCCATCGCCAGGCATGTAATTTTGCTCGAGAAGGTCTGCAGAGATAGCTAATTGCAATATGTATTAAATATATGTTTCAAAAGT